TAAAGCAACATTTTAAGCACTCGATCGGCACTGTTTCGTATTACAGATTGTATCCAGTGTTCATATTACTTCGTTACCCGAACCTGTTACACGTGCACATGTTTTCAGTTTTCAGTAGACCGTCACCTTTGACTTCGTTATATTCAATTGCACTATACATCCTGGAACACCACCATCGTAACTATTCTCACACGTGTCAAATGGTGATCCGTTGTACATGTGATATACTTTACAAAATAAACTTGGTATTGTAAGATATTTAAGTTGCAACATATCCTTGCAATTTAGTGCGAGCCACTTCCTCTAGAACATGTGCGGCACAAGATATGCTCATAGAGTTCAGAGTGCACGTTGCACAGAGTTTATATTGAGGCCGACTGTTGCCTATCATATTTTTTTGCTGTTGGAAACTTTTCACAATATTTTATACTGCGGAAAATTGTAAACTTGGCAACGAAAATGTTACATGGAAATTTACATTCTTTGTCCTTGGGTTGTATCACCATTCTGTTGGAGATATAGGTATACCATGAATAAACTGAATTTATAATCTGGATTAAAAAAAGAGAGCATGAACAACCTCGTTAAATTGTGGTTTGACCTTAAACATTAATGCCACTAGCTGCCATATGGTTCATAATTATGATGTTACAACATTTCACCTGTACAAATAAACAAGTGTTTTAAACCAACGTTTCGGAGCGCAGAAATTGCGTTCAACAATATAGGCCTAACGATCTTTTTTGGTGCGTTGTTAATCAAACTAACTTCCACTAATTACCTGCAAATTAACGGTAAAATTAGCTCTTAATTGGCTTGTCACGATCGGCCCGAGTAATAGGAGATTTCAATGTTTAGAGAATTGTTATGAATCTTTACCCGTGTGTGGAATTCGAAACAGTGCAGTGATTGAAATCTGTACAGATTGTTTGAAGCAAGCAGCGAAAGTGAATACTTTTTATTTGGGTCTGTATAGGTGAGGTAAAACTAAACGGAACAACTGAATAATAACAATAACCAGCGCAATACATAATTTATAAATTATGATATTGGTATTATAGAGAGGTTATATGAGATAAGCATGTTGCCAACAAATTAAATAAATATTAATATTCCATGTCGTGGGAAAGGTAAACTAAACTGCATACTGTAATATCGTATTAATATGTGAATTCTCAAAAAATGTTTTCAGTTTTGATTATGAAATTATCAGAAAAACTAATATCTGTTTTTAAGAAGGCATGCCCATATCAACTTTATGCGCGTAAAATATCTCCCGTTTTTTTTATTTTCCGTATTCGAATTCCGTACAGGAATAAACGATAAACGCGCCCTTCAAAAATCAAGATATGTAAATATGTACACAAGTAATATTATTGTCGGTAATTGTCTACCGATTTCAAGGACGTAAACATTGAGCTAATCACGTACAAACATAACATGGCTACCAATTAAAATATATTATCTGCTGGAGGCATATATACTGAAGATGGTGCGAGACGCACATACAGCTGATAACAATTTTGCTACGTTAGCATTATGGAGAGAGATAATAGTCATCATCAATATGATATTTAGGTCTTGTAAACTACAACGGGCTAATTCCTAGCAGGGGCGGATCTATAGCTATCAGGAAAGGAGGTTGATATTTGAGTGAACGCCCACAAGAGGGTCCAGGGGCATTGCCCCCCCCCTTCCCACCACCACCGGAAATATTTGAAAATCTAAGATGCCTTCTCCTACATTATGAAAGGCAGTACGAGAATACATTTAAGAACGTAAGCATGTTATTCATTCGTTTGGGCCTATTTTACTAGTATCATAAAATTAGTCAGCGGCTGAACGGACCCCCCCCCCAGATCCGCCAATGCATTATGATCTTATTGGCTTACATGATTGAAATTTAAAACAAAAACAAGTTCGAGTGACTAATTTAATTTGATAAAGTCATTTTCGCATTGTGTATACTTCAGAATATCCAAGCATGAAGCAGAGCTTTGGATGTTTTGTTTTGTTTTCGTTTCAACTGTTTGTTTACTGTTTTTTTTGTGCAAAGGGAAAGGAACACAATACAGGCTTGTCAAGAAGCTACACTATGATTGGTTAAAGGTACAAATAGTGGCAGTTGTGTCATCAAGTAATGCCACACGCGTTGCCTTGTATACATGCGACAAGATATTAGCTATCTGCTTTAAATCTCCCAAAATATAAACGAATATGGAAAACACTGTTACAAAGTCATATGGGTCGTCAAAACAAAAACGATACTCAAAGGTGAAACACAAACGAATGTTTTTTTTTGCGATTTGAAAACGACATTCCGTGATATTTTGTTTCTAAATAATTATACGTATCGCATTGCGAGATTAATTTTTCATTTGAAATCTATAGGAACCAAGGCATATCAAAAAAAGTTTCAACCAGAACATTTTTCAATTTCTGTACACAGGGGATCGGGGAAGATAAATCACAAAGTTAGACTTTATCATCAAGTTCATTCAGATTCGTGCTGTCATTTATCATGATGTGTTTACACCTTTACACAAAGGGAAAATAATGGAGTACGGAGTAAATTGCGATAATTATCTGGGGATCTTCGCAGGGGGTGGAATGCGCTTAGACCTTGGAATTGTATCGGCGATAATCGCTCTGGTTTGTTGTAGGTATCCTAAAGAAAATTTGACAGTCAAAATGATTAAATGTGTGTAAAAAATAAAATGAACGCGAGTATCAGATATGTCTATCTTGTATTGTGCTAAACTGGTGGGTTTTTTTTAGAAAAACGGAACATTCATGGTAAAAAAAAAATTGTCCCATCAATTTCACAATAGACCATTATCACGTTGCGGCCATCTTGATTTTTCACCATTCAATCAACGTAACCAAAGCGAGGCTGGAAGGAAAAATAGTCTGGTTCCTTTTTGCACAAACAAAACATTATCATTCAGTACCGATATTGGATACAGGAAACATAACTGAAACGGTGGCAGTATGATAAAGGAAAACGCCCATCCTTGATCAAAGAAATCAAAAAGTCTAACCAAAAAAAACCTACAAACAATCCATATATTCCTCAGATACACGGCAAGTATATTCCACTTGCTGTAATGCCGGAATTTTTCGGGTCCTTGGCTTGTCCTAGAATATACATTTCATATACCCTTGCCATATGGAAAATATTACTTTATTATATCACGATTTCCACTTACCAACCAATGTCAGATATCAACTTATACTCCAATGTGTTATCTGACTGCATATTAATGATCTTATTATAAACGTGATCACGATGCATTACCATACATCATTTTGGTAAAAGTGAGCCCCATGTAGATTATACGTTTCCACTTGTTATACTTTTTATAACATTCGATGCTTGTATCTGGATCACTTTAAATCCTTATTCCCCTCGATCGGCCCATTATCAATGACAGATGGGCACAACCGCTTTGATTTGTGTCTCTACAAATGGACCAGAGAAAATGATACTTTGATGCATTATTGCCCCCATATATTACAGAAACGTGGATGGGACCGTAGATTAAAGGAAATTAAAGTACGGGTTATATTCTCTCCTTAAAGGGTAATACTTTGACTATGTAACCTTTTAGCAGACTTGGTTTCAATATGTTTAGTCAGAGGTATTTTCAGTAGTCCGCTAGATAAATTTCATTTTTGCTGATCCCATATAGGGCCCGCCTAGAATCATTATTGTATCTATCTCACCGACTAATTTACTCGCTACTACACTGACTGACTGACTGTCATTTTTTTGCCGGGCAGTGCTATTGTATAGGACTACCCAATAACGCCAATGAGTTGGCTAGATCCAACCCATTGTACAGACCACATACATATTTTTTTGCGCATTGGAGAAGCGTGACTATAGGTTGCCAAGTCTTGTTTATTATTCTCGATAAAAATTATATATGTTATGAGAAAATTCTCTATCTACCAATTTCATGATCAACTTGCAAATATGAGAAAAATAGTCCACAACAAGTCCAATAAAGTCAGCATACAAAGTGACACCATATAGGCTTTTAAAAAATTCATAACGGTGTCTCATTATTTTCCTACAAGTTTGTTTAATACAAATTGTGTTCAAGTGTGATGTTCATTTCGTGTCCCTTTAACTTTTTTTTTTAGTCATCGCGTCTAATTACGTTCAACACACCAATGGACTAAATTATTGATAAAAGGCATACATCTTGCATGATAATCGTCCAGCCGTCTTCCGCATGTTACGTCATGCGGCGTGTTCAGAACCTTGACGTACAAGGTCGTGGGGGAAAATGGGGAAAAAGTGGTCATGGGTTTATTAGAGTTGGAATATTTTTAGGTTAAAAGGTCAAAGTGGTACACAGATTGAAACCTACAGTCAAAACATTCAAAACGGGAATAACAAAGCCAGGACTGGTTTTGTTCAATGTCCTGTTTTTGTAAACATGAGCAAAAAATGAATTTAATTAAACAGAGCACTGTTCATAAATATATATGGTAAAATGATCACGTATACACATTTATGTCAATATGCATGTATTTTCAATGGTGGGTTGGTTATTCTAAGGTTACATTTTTGCTTTGCAAGTAGATAATAATAATAATACAATATGAATTTCTTTTGCCATGGTTGTCTTATTATTGGTTGTTTGTGTATTGCAGGATGCTTTTCGGTATTGTCGATTACAGGACCTGACGATTACCTGTATTTTGATTGGTAAAGCGGAACTCTGGAAAAGCATGGTGTAATATTTTTATGGGTTTGATGCAATTACGTAAATGATCATTCAATAAAATATACATTCAGAACGTCTCCATCAATAAGTACTATCATCTTCCTCCTAAATCCAGCAAAATCCAACATTTCGATAGAGTTGCTTTGATTCTCAGTTCTGTTTGAGCCATGATCACCAAACATCATGGGTCTTGTTGGATCCAATAGGCTTCTTGCTATATCTTAATTTTGGAATTCGATGGAATCTCACACTATACTATTGTTAGATTTTGATGGTTTTAGGAAGGGTAACAGAAAACGCTGAAATGTACTTACCGAGAGTATGGACGGCGGAGACGTAACTCCAGTTGTAACGGAGGACGATGTCCACCATGGCCTGAGCTTGCAACGTATCAGACGGGCAGACTCGGATGAAGTACTCAAACAGGGTTTTATCACTAAGATCCTTGCTGGTTGCCGAGTAGGCAACCTGTGGAATGTTGAACAGCTGCAGGAGGTTCTGGACCTGTATGGCCACCTCACTGGAACCGGGCCCGATGACACCGACTATTGGTTTCCGAGCAGGGCTCTTCGTTCCGATGTCAGTATCACTAGCGGGGAGGCACTGGTCCAGCGCCGAGCGGGACGCCAATGGATCCCGGCTGGAGGAGCCCCCAGCTCCGGTAGCGCCGATGTTATCGGAGACAAACTCCAAACTCTGCTCCAGTGCCACCGAGGAGTACCAGCAGGAATCCCGGATCTCGTACCCGATGGTGACATTGGGGAGGATGGTGGGGTCCCGGTTGATCTCCTCAAGGGTCTTGATCATGACTTCCACTCGCTGGACGCCGTATTCCTCCCGGATCTTACCGCAAGTCCGTTGGGTGGCTTTCCTCTCGGACGGGGGAGGAGAGTGGACGGAGAACAGCGCTCCCAGGACCACATCGCCGTCCATGCGGGCCACTTTGCGGGTCCGGACCGTCGCGGACACGGCACTGACGCCGCTGATGAGGAGAACCACCCACAAGACGAGCAGGCACAACCTCTGCCAGTCCGAAGTCCGTGGTCCAGTCATATCTGAGTGTCCACCATCCTCAGATGGTCTAGGACTATGTACCTGTATTCCAGCATCGCTTGAGTGTTCTCGAGACGCGGTATCGCTTCTGACAACGCGGTCCGTCACACGGCGACTAACCCTCCCGCAGAAAGTCCGCTCCGATCCGCTAATTCCACTGGGAAGATAATGACGCCAATGATGTCTCTGCCATATGCGGCGGTATGAATGATTGCTAGTTGCCGGTATGGCCATGGCCTCTATCGGTCTCTCTCACACACGCACACCGTGCGCGCGTAACCTCTGCCTGCCGAACCGTATCCACCTCCCAGCTGGATTACCGCAGCTCATGCGATCCCACTCTGCTTGAATAATTAATACCAATGATATTTTTAACAGGGTGAACACAACGGGGTTGCCGCCGAAGCATCCCCATACATTCCAACCCAGCGGCTATCTCCTGCCAGCATTTTATTATTCCCCGCGGTTCACCTTTATCTGCAGATGACAATAAACTCGCACAACTGCCGGTTAAAGGCAAACTATACACAACTGACTTCCTCGTGTACTCAGCTGGGAATATATTTAGGCCGAAAAAAAAAAAAATCAGGTTGTCCCTCTTTCACTTTCAAGTGGTATGCAGCAACCGAGAGGGAGCGATCACTGTCAATAAATTTGCGCATGCGCGGAGCCAGGACGCGGAAACTTCCTCCAATCGTTTACGGTCACCATGCTCCATAGTAGGCACGATACTGGACGGTCCTCTGAACTATGATACCTTTTCGTTATATTTGTCAGTGCTTATATCCTTGATTCAGATGAACAGTGGTGCACGGTGTGTAAGCACGTTGTTTTTGTTGTGGTGATGTATATTTTCTTCGACGATCATGGCAGATCTGATTTGCTTGTTGCTCTAACTGTCACAATCCGAGATCTGAAACAAAAACAAAGAACCATGAGGAAACTGTGAGTGAAAAAACATGGGAACTACCCAGCAAACAAGCACGTCCCCAACCCTATTGAATATCGGGCGATGCATTTGCAACTATACTTTGGTTTGACTTTTTGGCCCGGATTGTCACGGTCACCGCTACTTATCTATTTAAGGAACAAGACGTCATACGTGAACCACCGGAAATTATTATGTACATCAACCTGTACAAAGCAAATAATACCGCTTCAGACTATTGCAATATCTTTGGCTATAGGGCTCTTGCAGGGTCGAGTCGAAAGAGAGGCTTAAATTGCAGTTTTGGCCACGTCCATGATAGGTTTTATGTAATAGCTATAGCGCTAAGATGCGGAAGAGTACTTTCTTTTGCAACTGAAACCTCGCTTTTGGATCCAATATGGCGGAGTCGTGCAGAGAGTGAAAAGGGAATGTTTATTTTGTCTCCCAGCGGTCATTTCTCAGTGTGTTTGTCCATCTCTCCATTTTGCTGGTTTTTCATTTGTTTGAACTATATATAAAGTGTCACTAGAGTGGTTCGTTAATGACCACTCTATTTTTGGAATATCCGTCCTAATGGATTTAGAGTTGATAAACTTGTTTTGAAAATCAAACTCAAGATTGTCCTCATAGATGACCTCACTGTTCTGATATATGCAATCTGATCAGCAAAATCAGGGGCATTCGCCTACATCAATTACTTGGAGAAAACAAAATTGAAGAAATGTTCACACTGACTGGCGACTCTTCCTATACCATTTGGTAATCCCATTCCAGTACTACATTTTCTCAATTACCATTTGGCAACATGACATCTGTTTTTCCATTTGATTTTCTTGCACCGTTAATGAATCGAAAACGATTCTCATAATCTTGATGTTCAATTCAAGTCATATGAGATGGCGGACATTTGGACAGATGGTATTTAAATATATATGCGCACGAAACCTGAGAGGATATTTTTTCACATTTTATATTCGTTGACGGATGAGTTTCTTCCATCAAAACTATTCAAGCGCATACATCCGGATCCATGACAGAAACCAATGGGTAAAGTGGTACATAATCATTAGGGAGAGATTCGTCATTGGAAAAAACATTTTAATGTTTTATCTGCCATTTCTACAGAACGATTTTTATTGTCGCAAGTTGCTTCAAACGATCCCTTAGGTCGAGAATACTTTAGGGGAGGGGGAATATTTACAAATGGGGTTACGGGACGGTTTTTGTTTGCGTACAATTCTATTGGAATGTCTCCCTAAGGCATCATTTTCGGTAATGATAATTATTTCCAGTTACAATGTAATAAATCTTCGTGTCTGAAAGTCGGCCCACTCAAGATGCTCAAATGAGGGCGCTAGTCACGTCTCGGGGACAGTGATAGGTCCTCCTTATTCCAAGGGCTTGTTTGAACAAGTGGCCCTTCAGGACGATCGACCCCAGGCCAACTCTTATGGCATTTCTACACACAGACATTTGCTAAACACAGAACGTATTTCCTTAGCAAACACAGGTTACCAGCCAAAATTGACATGTTAACTCATCATGACTGGTTCTCGCCGGATTTCTGCATGCTCAGCACATTAAGTTGCCAAGCGATAGACCGTATGCGTATTGCAGCCATTTTAAAAGGCAATGCCTTTGTTGTTATGGGAGAACCTCCTGTGCATTCATTGTTACTGAATTAAAATAACAAAAGCAGCCCTCTACGATGGCCGCTACGCATAAGGTATGTAGTTTCTACTGAGCACCTCAATGGTAAAAAGGAATTGGTATGTCTGTTGACTGCGCTCATTACCACTTGAAAAAAGAACACCACAATGTTATTGTGAATTGAAATAGGGTTACGACAGCATGCTAGAGAGAAAGAGAGATGCTTTATTTAACATAATTATATAGTGGTATATTTCATCATACATCTGAATTGTTATTCAAGAGCCGGGAAACGAAATAGTTCGAACTCAACGAACCCGAATTCGAAAAACCTATCTCCAAAATCATACATCTGTAGGTTTTAACAAATAGTTAGTCTAGATGTCGTTTCATCAGCCATTACAAAATGAATGGAACGTCGAATTATGAAAGAAAATGCAATGGGAGCCGAAAACAAGTACAAGTGTAATATTGTCTCAATTGCATTTTAACTGTGTGTAATAATAATAAATTAATATTCGAATACACAAACGCCGAAATGCGGTTTTATTTATGCTTATTCTAACCTCGAGACAATGCTTACTGTGGTGTGGAAAATTATTCGACAAATAATCCCGTGTAACCATGTATTATATTCATTATGAATAATTCGTCACTTGATTTGCATAATTGTTTTAAAGAAATCGTACGTTTCTTTGGTTGAGTACCATACTTTGCTACATTTAGATATAGATGTACCAATCTATCATATAAGTCTAATCAAAATGGCAAATAATGTCTTGTATTTTGTTTTTTAATAAAAAATATCATTTATATTCTATTGATAGAACAGTGATTATAGAGTATCTCGAAATATACGCTGTTGACATTTTTTATCATGTCGCACAAGTATCTGAAGGTTACCATTCGTATTTTCTCATTTGAAAGACAATTCTAATTATCAGATAAAACAAACATTTTGTGTAGTTGCCGGCAATTATTTGCTATCATAACAAGCAGTATAGACCTATTCATATACACAACATGAATAATATTCTACGGATCTGTCATGGAGCGCACGTTATTATTGCAATACCTTTCCATTGATATGCATACTACAGATCATACCGTATGCCCTTGGGCATTCGTCACACATTACAGCCAACCACTTCTAATAAGTCCATGAAGCCGACATTAACTCGTCATTATCTCCGCAAATTGCTGCTCATAACGCCCCGCTGTCAGCGGTGGAGTCTGATTTTGAGTTTAATAATAACCTGCACACAGAAGGATTTAGACCATCCCGATCGCGCTATCACAATACACTAGGCCCCCTTCAATGGCGAAAACATTGCGGAGCTTTTGTACAAAGCAACTGCCCCTTAAGGATGCAGGCCAGTAAAATGGCCCGAATCTACCTACGCCGGCCAAATCACGATTCGCATGCTCTCAAATTCTGCGGTAGTATTTCGTGGGCCATGAACTCGAGGGTTTGTAAACAAAGAAGGGTGGAAGCCGTGAAGAGGACTGCGAGCTCGTATTTCTGTCAAACTCGGATGGAAGTCGGCCCCAAAATGGCTCGTTTTGCAATGGAGCATGGGCATCCTTTTTCAATATGGCGATGGGTTTCAGGTCTATTTTTAGGGGTGATCATCTTTGGATGGAATTTTCTCAAAAAAGTCATCGGTTAATCCCCACAAAAATGAACAGAAAATGAAAGATGATGAAATAAGCTTTAATTTGATGTGTGTCTCAAACACCTTGTGTTGTGAGAATTTTTGTTAATATTTGGAAGTGGGCGTGTTTATCACTGAGGTCTATGTGCAGTTTATTTACTAATCTGCACAATGGACGGACTGTCCAAACCAATGCTTTCGCCATTGAAGGGGGCCTCCGTGGCGTGCTCTGATTGGTCCATAGACCAATTCGGGCATGCTATCACTTCTACCACGGAGGCCCCCTTACATGGCAAAAGCACTGTGGTAGCTATTGTTCAGATAAGCCGCCATGGTGTAGCAGCTTTGTACAATAACGTACACGATGGTTTCTCCATTGGAGGGGACCTCCTCGAGTGCACCATGCGACGACGGGATTGAGAGTATCTGCGAAACGCATTACTTACGCGCGGCTAGAGCCCCGTCTAGTCTCAAAATCCCCGTCTATATGCGCGTAGAAAGTGCTTGGCTTTTATATACCTACGGTACGACGGGATAGAGATTGATGTCTCGCCAATACCGACCTGAAAGGCCCCTAATGAGAAATGTTCCATCCGAAAATTATACCCGAATGAATCGCGTATGTGCGCATCATTGCGGTTATGGGAGTCCTACCTATTAAATCTCAGGCCTGGTTATATTGGCAATTTCTTTCATCAAAAGTGCAGGCACCCCGGCGAGTGTTTTGCCAATTGATTCGTTATACACATAAAATGTGTAGCGGGAATGTTTTCTTTTCCTCTTTGCGATTTACAGCATAATAGTTTGATAATTTGGTTTTCGAAAATAAACAGCCATAATTTGTGGAAATTAATGTGCAGCGATCAAAACGCTTGGAATCTTATTGTCTGTGGCTGTTTGTCTTTAAACAAGACTAGGAAAGCCTGTTGTTAACGATTGGTCCCAGACCAATTTACTCCAAGGGTATATCATCCGAGTCAAATTTTTGGGCCAAAGGGAGACTTAGTTGGGTGCTGTGGTCCAATGGTTACGGTGTTCGACTCGTGTGCCGTGGTTCATGGGTCCGGGTTTGAATCCTGACGGGGAACATGGTGCCTGTGCTCTTGAGCAAGGCACTTTACCACTGCTTCGTCCCTCGGATGCGACGTATAAAGCCCTAGGTCCCGTGTGTTGTGTAATGCACGTTAAAGAACCCATAAACACTTAAAATATACATAATTACCAGCGCCTTGAGCCCGTTGGTAGATACGTGCGCTATATAAGACTCCGGTGTTACTTATGGAAGTCTAATTGACAAGTAATGGTCAATCAGTTAGTGAGGACTCAGGACTGTAGGCTGGCCCTCTGGGGCCAGCACAATGACGCTTCATATATTGGCGTATACCCTTTTACGCAAAGTTACGTGTAGCCGTCAAAAGGTATACATGTATCTGGTCGACCTATAACGCTTACAGGTAAAGCCGATACAACATTTGCAAACATAAAAAAAAAACTACCAAATACTTAAAACATAGCTTACCGTTTGACTGTAACAATCTCAAGCGTCATGTGAGATAATGGCACCTGGTGTGCTCATTTTCAAGAGAAGTGGAATTTTTTGTATCAATTTCCAACGATGGTCGGCCGACCATCGTTGAAAAAAACACCACATTTTCCCCCTCAAATACTGCCCCCAAATTACCACATTCAAGTTCACAGTTTGTTTGCAATCGGATACGCATCTGAACGGTGCAAATCAGCTAGTCTGGTTCCCTGACCTGACAATTCCCCGACGACTATAAATTGCTCCGTTTCGTCTGAAGTAGGGTCAGGGAACCAGACCACAAGAACAAACTCTGTTTTCTTGGTTTAAGCAGCATCTATTGTGAACACAAACTTTAAACAGGTCAGTTTAACTATGTAAAATACTAACCCCCAAATCCATCAATTTCTGAAAATTACAGCAAAGTCAGTGTATATTACCCATATATACTTTGCACGTTGGGTTGAAAAACAGAGGTTGCCCATGCAATTGCCTCATTTTGATCAGAATATTAAAAAAAGAAAAAAAAGAAAAAAGACAGCTATTATTTACGATCAAATTTTATAGCATTTTACCTGAAACACTGCTGCAGTTCTGTGTTTGCATCAATCATCTATTACTTGTTGTGGAGAGAAGATGGCACAAGGAAGGCATGTAACCCGGCAGACCAAATGTGACTAATTTTGCACTTGACATGTGCTGGGAACGTTATACCACATGTTATACATGTGGGTGCTGGCCATAAAAAAATAGAGCAATGTGTAGACATGAATCACTTGTAACTCGTCTGGGCCATGCATCACTTTTGATGTCACACTACGCCTTTTTTGGTACGCAAGCGCACAATAACTAAACAGTGCAAATAACCGTGCACGGAGAACTTTTTTCACCTGCCATTTTGTGCACAACCACCGCCTGTATCGATTCCTCTCACCTCGAATACAAAACCCTGAACAGGTTTTCCATTCATAAAACCGCCAAGGTGCCGCTGGGAATCGATAGAGCAGCCCATTTTCTATACGCAGAGTGACTTGACTGTTTGACGAAGCACTGACATCCGGACGGACAAGCAAGCCATTCAGAGGGCTGCACTTTTTTACGGTGATGCTTAATTACTGCAATTCATATAGGACAATGGGTCGGCAATCGGCACAAAACCTATATGGGTGGGTGCCATTTGGACGATATGTCCAGTGTTTACGAGCCGCCGAGGGAAGTACATGCATTTATTAACAAACAATGTAGCAGACAGTTAAATGCAAATAAGCTTTAAATGAGTGATATAGGCTCTTCCATGCCTATTTGTAGAGGCTCACCGCAATGTGACAACAGCAATACTCACAAATTTAAGCCAGGGACACTGTAACGCAAACATCTAACTATACTCCTTGTGGCGGTTAAATCTCACCCTCTTGCACAAAGCTGATGAAGCTCATTTGTGATGCCTTGTTTACATAATCTGAAATTTTGGTTTAATTCCATTCGTAACAACAGAGTTATTTAGGATAAAAAGTAGGACATGTCTTCTTTTTTTTTTTTTACACATGGTAGTAAGTACTAATTTCGTGCTTGTTGAGCAACGTGGAACTTCCCTTAGCATAAACAAGACTTACCATTTGCAGGGCACACCTTCACATTGCTTGTGATAGGTTCTTGGTAGATTTTCTTTTAGTACTATTCTCACATTCAGCTTTGCAGCCCTAAAAAATTGGCAGCATACACTAGCGAACAGTGTCAAACAACAAATCGCTTTACAATGTCGCAGTACCGAATTCGTCTCCAACATGCACATACAGAACACGCAGGCCCAACACAATGCAAGAACTGGAACTCGATATTCCATTTGATTAGCCCCACAATGCTTCAAAATGATTCTTTTGTTACGATTAAGGCACACATCCATCAAATTTCCGTCGGGCATTGTTGATCTACAAATAATGTCACCCTAGCAACATGGTATTGAGGTATTACAAAAACGAGGCCAAGCTATGCATTGGAGTATAGTCATAGCTGCAAACCATTTATATCATATTTTTTTTCACCTTGATAAGAGAAATCGGGACAAATATCCGTCCATCTTCGAAAATGACATGAGACGATCTGATCTACTGTGTAGCCACACGGTGGGCCTTATTCCAAAGATGGTCACTGAATTTATATCGAGTTTCCAGAATCCAACTATTCAAACCCCAATGAGCTTACGTTTACACAATAAGGTAGCTGGTGCTTGCCTCGCTATCAAAATATTCTGCATATGAGCCAAAAACATTGAACGATGCTTCATCCACCCCCTAAATGTACGTATCGCCTATCGCCACCACTTAAATTGAATATACAACATTTGCAAACATAAAAAACTACCAAATTTGTATGAAATACCTTACTGGACTGTTGGTGAAGGATCCTTAAGCATCCTGTAAAATCATGGCACCTGGTGTGCTGTCATTTTCAAGAAAAGTGGTATTAAGTTTGTATCAATTTCCAACGCTGGTCGGCTGACCAGCGTTGAAAAAACACTGCGGTGATAGCCTCGATATCGTGTCAAGCGTGGTTAAGGCCAAATCCCCCAACACTCCACCTAAATTCTGACACCACCCTCACAAATATTCGAGTCCAGTAAACTTGAAATCATCACCCTTTTACACAACAATTCGAATACGAAAGGATGGTTGCTAAAGCCGTTCAATGGCTGAAACTCAGAGGCTGTTTGTACAAAAATAAAACTGTATTTTTTATTACTGCGTTTGACATGATAATCACCAAAATGAAACTTATCGTGTCTTTGCGGTGGTAGCCTTGATTCAAGGCTGATGCCTGATAAACCGAATGCATGCTGTGAAAATTGAAGTGGCTCCCTTCCAGGATCAAAGCAGATGTTGCAGCTTATATCAACCACTTGAAACATGCCTAGCGGCGACCATAAATAATACACCCAGATTTGTTCATCTTACCTTATAAAATGCCTGACCTTAACAATTCCACACACAGGGTAATCTCTTCTTTATACGGGCCACATGTACAGACTTGAACAAAGTCTAGCTGAGACCCTTCACATCCACATAGAACGGACATTTTTTTTGTCTCTGGCTCTCCGGCATTTGTTAATTTCTCCGCGAGGCCAATCGGGTTTCATCTTTTATGGATGCGGGCATGATGCAGCTGAGCGCATTATACATTATCTTTATCTCACAGTGTGCAACTTGAGTGATACGATAGTGTTAACGATAAGGATAACGTATGGAGCTGCTGCGTTTTACGACGTGGAGTCTGTGCTGAACTCAGTTTCTTATAGGTCAAAAACTGAAAAAGTGTAATATGTTCTTTATTGACATGGGTGAGGCGGGGAGGCTGCTGTTTAAAAACCTCTCGACAAAGCCATTGAGGTATAAGAAAGTTACATGGGGAAAAAAAGCAAAACACTTCAAGTTAATGCAATATGGGGAAAAGCACGTAACATTTTAAGCGAATGCATCATCTTGGGTTGTATTCAATTTCACTGATGCGTTCATGGTTAATTTTTCACTACGATTTCATTTACTTGAAGACAACATGCTCGATTCACTCACTCTCAGAGCACGGCCTCAGAGTAAAATTTATATTGCATTTGTGCTAAATAATTATTGTTCTATATTTAAAGTATCTATATGATAATCATTATTGCAAAACATTGTATTTAACTTTAAGTCATGTTTCTGAAAACAAAAACCAAAACTAAAGTTGGTCGGATCTCAATCATCAATACACAACGGAGTTTTCAACTTCAAATATTCAGTGTATATTATTGAATTCAGCTATAAATTGAAATTATATAAAAATCTGAACCGCCAATTGAAGAATTTTTTTATTAATTTATCCCAAGCAGCTACTCGGCGCAGCAATTGGCGGTTCGCTTGGCCTACTAACGAATTCATGTAATAAGACCGCTCCTCGATGGCGCACGTAAGCCGATTTCTTGTCCATTTCACGGCTAGTTTACTCCCGGTACATAGATCAATATGAACCCATTGGACCGTGAATTTTGTCTGGCAGTGTACGCTTGAACGCACGCCCCGCGCTGTAGTCTACATACCGAGAGAAACTGCATTAAACTAATTAGCAAAGGACGATGTTCATTTTATTGAAAAAGGCTATTTAGGAACCTGCGTTATGAGATTATGCTATGGGGTCTCGTGCCCGTAACACTTTGAAAGCATTCAGCCGCCATGTATCCGCATGTACTTAATAATATGAAATCTTATTTAATAATAGCAAATCATTTTTCCCCAAACACAATATTCATGCATGACTGTATTCAAATATTGATATTCGCTTATACAATCTACGACTAATTTAAAACTCCCGTTGTTTTGACAAACACAACATTTCCAAGGAAACATTTTTTTTGGCACGCAATGCGAAACTCAATCCGGGATAAAACCAAAATTCCGAACTAAATGTATACGAGAAATGACCTATACTCGTACCAATTTCAAATAACATTCTAAAAGGCATGTTAGACCTCGCACAAAATACTGTCATTTACAGAGTCCAAAATCAATTGGACATGTGTAAGGCCTTGGGCCACATTAGTCCTAACAAGGCAGGATAAAATCGCCGCCAAAATAAATTCTCGTCTACCGACAACCATGTCGGCAACAAAAGTTGAACACAACAACTTTAGGGACAATTACCGGACCTTCTTTTGACAAACTTCAGACGGGGTAGGCTAAAGGGTTAGGTTTATTTAAGTTTAATGAAACAGTTTGTTGGATTTTACCTTTTGGTTTAAGTATACCGTCACTGTCAATCGGCTTAATAGTGAACCACAAACTGGACGTACGCACGAATAGTTTATCATAATTACATTTTGCGCACCGTTGTTTAAGTGGTCACCCATATCCTATTTTTGTATTGCTGTTTTTATCAGCATTATTAATCAGCATTATGGTAAGCACTCAATCTATCTGTCCATCAGCACAATAATCCTAACCATGTGTAGTGCTTTAACAAATCGCCATGCAATTATCCATTCAAAAATTAGACTTATGTTTTTTTATTGGAAATGACGATAGTCATACACCGGTTTCATTATCCAAAAAAATTATGCGTATATATTAAAAAGCTTGTTTTAAGCATGGAGTATGCGGTTCGTCGACAGCATTCTTCGACAAGACTCTCCAATATCGGACAGGGAAGTATCTATAGGGTCCACTTTGGCGTGTCATTTTCTGGGGGAAGCAGCCCATAGGCTCTTTTTCTTTCCCTAAAATTCTTGAGGGGGCACAGACCTTGAGCAAGGGTGGTGGTGCCGTGTGAGAGGGGAGGGGGATGGGGGGGGGGGGGTCTCGCGACCTCGCGTGACCTTACCGTGGGAGATGCTCTTTTTCTGTTCTATAGCAAAATCTCAACAATTCTTAATAATGGAACAAAAATGTCAAGTACTGCTAATCCGGATATTTGAAACCGGCTTTAACTGTTCAAGTAACGCGAGATCTGTCGTTGGCGTCGCATTTCAACAATTGTTCACGCTGAAAAAATTATGACCTGAAACCTAAGTATGCCGAAATTCCATCTGAAAAAAAATGAGGTAAAAAATAAGACCAATTTTTATTACCGTTGTGGGCCGTGTAACTACCGTTATTTATCACCTAATACTTTCGCCTCATGCCGAGGATAGATTATTCTTAATTTTTCATGGTAGGTTTTATCTTTGCCGATGGGTAAAGAAAAATTAAAACAATTTCTTGTTTTATTGTTTTTCAAAAAAATCTGACAATCGCTCAAGAATGGTTAAGTGAATGATTGCGAAACGTGAATGCACGCACGTTTTAATTCAACAAATTGTTTTGCGAGATATGCGTTTCCGCATTTCCCCTGAAAACAAATGTTGACAGAA